GGAGCAGCCACTGCACTCCAGTCTGGGTGACAGAGTGAGACTCCAACTTTAAAAAAAAAAAAAGAAAGAAATGTTACTCTTCTTCCAAGACAGCTATAGTCTCTCTAGACCTTAGTACTCATCCCCTGATTGAGATTTCGCTTTGGGAGTGTTTTGAGTTTTGAGTTTGTATTTCAGAGGGTCGATTTCGTGCCTGAGGTTGGAGGAGAGGAGAGCACAGCCCAGTTGAGCCAGGCAGGGAAGGACACCCAGCCTCCGCTGCTAGTGGCATTTACTCAGGGCCACACTGAAAAGGTTCAGGGCAGAAAGCTGTGTGTGGGTTTTTTTTCTGATTTATATTCTCTATTCTCCCTTTTTTATGCTTGTTTACCACCCTAATCTAGTACGTATCTCAACTGAACTTACGTTAAGATCTCAAACCACGTTTGACCACAGTTATCTGTGAGTGTTAACTCAATAGATCTGAATAAGCTGGCCAGAGTCAGAGAAAGGAGTAACCCAAAATGAACTTTAGGTTTTTAGGAGGAAGAGAGAGAGAGGTAGTGACTCAGAGAACCAGATCTCATCAAGGTGTGGGAAGGCTCATCTGTGTACAAGGAAGCCCTGGAGAACCTCTGGGCCTTTTAAATTTTATTTTTAGAGATGGAGTCTCACTGTGTTACCAAAGCTGGAGTTCAGTGGCTATTCATAGGTACAATCCTAGCTCACTGTGGCTTCAAACTCCTGGGTTCAAGAGATCTTCCTGCCTCAGTCTCCCAAGTAGTTGGGATTACAGGCATTCACCACTACATCTGGCTCCTGGGCCTTTATTTTAAAGAATAACACTGATCATCTCCCCAAGTCCTAGTGATTCTTTTCTGGTTCTACTAAAAGAAGAATAAGGGGCCCAGTGGAGTTCTAATCCTTCCAACATTCCATTAAGAAATTCTCCCAGCTGGGCACAGTGGCTCAAGTCTGTACTCACAACACTTTGGGAGGCAGAGGCAAGAGGATTGCCTGAGCTCAGGGGTTCGAGACCAGCCTGAGCGACAATGGTGAGACCTCATCTCTACAATAAATCAAAAAATTAGCCTGGTGTGGTGGCACATGCCTATGGTTCCAGCTACTTGGAAGGTTGAGGTGCCACTGCCCTCTAGCCTGGGTGACAAAGTGAGACTCTGACTCAAAAAAAAAAAAAGAAGAAGAATTTCTCCCATATAGCAAAACATTGGGAAAGTTTAAATGTCCTTTATGTTGGAATGATTGAAAATAATTGTGACAACCTGTATGTCCTTTAAAATTATGAAGTAGATTTATATTTACTGAGATAGAAAAATATTCACACTATATTCTTAGTGAAGGAATAGGTTACACAAAAGTA